GTTCAAGAAGAAGTTAGAGAAAGATGGTTGGAACTTGGCGGAACACCACCTCATGTCTGGGAACGGACCCAAGGCCTGTTTGTCCGGTGTAGCAGAAACGTCGCAAAGGAAGATCTCGCCGTGAAGAGACTCGTTAGTGCTCCTTGTACTCTGGCTTTTTCACCCGCTTGCACTTCGCAAATAGAACGCAATTGGCATATGTACAACCCTTGAACACGACATTTTTTTCTGTCTTATTCCACATTTCCGGCCACCGCGTGAGATTGTGGAGATGCTCAAAGCCTTCTCTGCTGCTTCCATAAAGCGCCGTTAGAAAATACGCTGGTACGTCGTAATGCATCCCGATTGACAAGAAATCCTATCTATTACCCCGTACTTTCGCTCTTGTCCCATTTGTCACTGACTTTTCTTACCCCTCCCGTAACATCGCGTTCCAAACCTTGATGGTCGGTGAATGTATACATTTTAACCGGGCCGGCAAATTAACTGGTTTTCCCGTTTTGAAGATCCTTTGTGGAGGTCACGGATATGCATACCTATTTCCGATGTCGCTGATTCATGAAAAGATCTAATTACTGCTGATCCTCGAGGAAAAACTTCGCCTGATGAAGGTAATGCAAACAACAGAGATGGCGAATACAATCTCCCTCGGCAGTTGTTCGTATACATAACAGTGGAAACTTCGCTTTACCAGGGTTCTCGATGCGGTACCAGATCACGGGGGCCCTGTCGTAAAGTCATGGGCGCTGGTAGACGGTCCCGAAGCAGGACTGAGGGAAGAACAAAGTTCACGCTTTCAGATCTATTCTCGTTCTTTTATGTTCGGTCTTATCTCCGTGCTCCATCCTTCTCGGCGATTCTCCTTTCTGCTTCAATGCACAAGTGCACAGACATGTTAGTATAATGAGGTCATTTTTACAGTAGTGAGTCTGACTCAGCCTTTGCGTCCAGAACGTCTCCTGAAGCTCTAACCCTTTGCTTCGTCGACCTTCGTCATCATCCTCGAATTCCATTGTCAAATCCGCCGCATTGGATCCGCCTTGCCTTGTGTGGACTTATCTTATCCTTATGTATGCCCCATCTGGACACGGGACCCCCGGACACTCCAGAAGCACGGCGAAAAACACTCTTATATTTGTTCACAGGTACGGTTGTGCCTTCTCTGGACGACGAACAATCGTTGGATACCTTTGTCGTCTGCTGCTTCTCAACGACCGCCTCCCCGGACCGCATCCATTGTTCATCACACAATCAAGACGCACGTCGACAGCTTGTGAAGTGGCGCAGCCATCATTGCAAACAGGATACAGTCATCCCTAGATGCGTAAGGACTGTGGTTTATTCTGGTTCTATTCGGTCACTTAGAAAATTAGTCCGTATTCGTTCAGGGCTGAAGGTGACACCCCAAATCGCAGCCGTAGACGTAACGTCACATTTTTAATTGGTTCCCCTGCCCTTTCGAATCATCCTCTGTGTTTGTGTATCCATACGGTCCCGCCACATTTTTAAAGAACATCCACAAGTAATCTGATAGAGACAATAGAAACAATGTAGAGTTCCATACACAGCAACACACATAAATCCCATCGCTTTCTTCTACCTTCCTTTCCGAGCCCATCACCAATATATCTCAAATCCATCTCACTGTGGGGAAATAACAAAGGCTTCGAATAGATGCCAAAGTAGAGAAAGAAGACATGAATCAGCAAGGAACGCGCACATCATCGAAGGCTGTCTAGCGCTTCTGATTTTCAAGCATTCAATCGGCGAATTCACCTAACTCTGAGATGCATGTAGTTCCGGTGGAGACAGATGTACAGTAATAGGACAAGAACTCTTGGTGGAACCTGTCCCAACTGTTCCTAACTGAGGGATAATCCTTCCGTTCCCTCCTTTCGCTCCCTCACGGCCCGAAAACAAGGATACGGAACGTTATCCTGCCCAACAAGCGTCGAGACATCCAACTTCAACCGCACATCTATCCTTGGAAATGGTCCGAGATTCAACAAGGTTTTAGAGATAGAGTGTACGGTGTTGCTCTAGCGAGTAGCAAATAATCTAGTTCCGAAGGGTGATACTTTCCCCCATCCATGCGGTAGAAAGGTCCGGGAAGAGCATGCAGTTCTATATAAGTCTGGGTCTGAGTCAGTGCTCCAAAGAGGAAAGTGCCTAAAATAAAGCGACGGACTTGATTAGTGGCTTAAAAGGCAGCACGGACGGACTCGGCCGTAGATTCTTCAAATTTGACTGCGAGTATCTCCGGGCTGACCGCCTGCTTTTCTGATCCTTTGAAGTTCCTGTTCACTGTGAAATCGTGAGAGCGCTCCACTACCATGTGGGTTTTGTTTTAGGAATGTCTGCGCTTCTATTTCTCTTTTTGTCGTGACGTATTCAGTAAGAAGCAGCGCTGAGCTCGAACTTATGAGTCCAGTGAGTAGGTTTCCTCTTCGAGAACACCCATTAATAAAGCCCGGGACTACACTGGAACGGGGGTCGACCGCCCGAGTGCAAGAGATACGTCAATGATACATGATCCAATGGGCATTCGGCGTCAACTCGTAATTTCCCTCTGTCAACACATCTGAGGGCATTTAAAGAAGATCTTGTCTAAAAATAAAATGCAATCCAATTCTGTTATCGCCAATGAGGGTTTGTTCTCATCATCAAAGCCATCACAGTTCCTCAATTGTTGTGGTTGTTCTCTCCATGTTGGCAGAGCTCCAGCCAATTCCCCCTTTCTCTCCCTGGCACCCTGGCTTCTTGTCTACAAATAGCTCCCGACACCGGACGTCCATTACGTTAGCGCCTGTAAAACCATAAGTTTGAAGGGAGTGCCACATACATACTACTGGAATGACGGAGTCTATTCATGGTACTGGATCGGAGCATAGGCGAGTAAATATCGGAGCATGCTGTCAGAATGTGCTAGTACTCACAGAAGAATACAAGATACCCAGGATGTTTGTGGTTATAGAAGAAGGAAGCAGCTGAATGCACACTACCAGACGGGCGATATTGCATGTCAATGCCCATAGATTATCGCCTTCTGGATACTGATGCCCCAGCTGCGCACTCCACTGAATTAAGCCTTGAGGCAATGACTGTATTCGCAACCTGTGTTAGTACCCAAACTTTGAGCAACGTGTGGACACGATAACGGACTCTCTATGCAATCGCTTGAACCTTCTCGAAAAAAACTGAATTACCGACCTATTTTCAAATCTATAGCAAATGAGACACGCAGCAGCCCATCAGAACACTGCTTCTGCATGCCGGAAGGTTAGGATATGAAAGCAAAATAGGACTAAACTCCCTATGGGAAGTGATGCATCGATGTCAAAGGCCTCGAACGCCTTCATCTGGTGCTTCTAACACCCCACCAAACTCTCGGCGCATTACCACGGTGGGTCGGAGTTGTCCCTAATCTAGAGTGTTACACCCACTTTCAGGCGCCCAATTTGCCAGCAAATTACAGGGAATTTCTGTCGATGTCAGGGTTTTCTCATGCCGGGTTCACAGGCCTAAGCCCTTCTTCACACATGGAGCATTCTCAGAAAGGCTTGGCATCGAGCCCATATATTAGCTCTACACAACCTCACCCTGGTAAAATCAGCAGCCTGGGACAAGCATCTACCAAGGTGGAGGGGGGTCTAAATATGCGATGGTTATGGGTGACTTTGATCTGTGGGATAAGAATTGGGTGGCTGTTCCTCTGTTCCTTAGAGCGCCAAACGAAAGGGTAGTCACAAAAAAAAACGGACCCCTCGCCGTTCCGCCGCTATAAGAGAGCAAGCCACCGCTGAATTAGCCTGCCGCGGCAGCAAAGCCCCTCTTTTGAAGGGGGGAGCCCTCAGGGGGATCAGCGCCGGCCTTCCATCGCACGGAAGGGCTGTCTTGTCCTCCAACTATTTAGCGCCAACCAATCTAATAACGCCTGCCCATTTCCGGTTAGCACGAGGCACCCAGAACGGGTTCTAAAAACGAAAACAAACAAAACATCGTCTCGCTCGGGACGGTTTCTGCAAACACGTTGTTGGAGTCTCGCTCCAAAACTCTGGAAAAAAAGACAGATTCGGCTCCCCCTTCCTCTTCCTTTGTCTAAAATACTTCCAAATCAACCACATCGCGGGAGTCTTAGTCCGACCTCCCCAAAAGCGACAAGCTCGAACCATCCCCTCCAAGCCCCTGTAACCCGAAAGATCCCTGAAAAGCCCTCGAAGCCCAGAAGTCGCAAAACGCCTCCGGACCTTCGCGCAATTTAACAACCCCTTCGAAGCTACAACGCTTCCGGGGCTCATTCACTACTAAACACTTCTATGAAACGTTCTTCAATCCAATCCACGGAGGATCTTGCGCCTCACCCCAAACTCCAAAAAGGCCTTGCCTTCCAAATGCCCTCTCGCCCTTCAATCGATCCGCAGCTATCTCTCCCGGCTTCTCATCCGTCTATAAACGTCTAGCACCAACTCATGTTCGCACTAAGGGTAAACACGCCACGTCCTCATCCATTCCCTGTGGAGTTCCCAAAATCCACTAATCAATTAATCACATAGCTCAAACGTTTCAGACTTACAAGGATCCGAAAGGTGTTCGCCCATCAGGAATAACCAACGAAGATTTAAGTTGAATTTAAGTACTTATTCAAATGACATAGGAGGGCTACATAGGTATACACAGACAGACAAGCAAACATTCGTCTGGGGGGTAAAGTGAATATCGCCAGGGATGATGTTGCATACAGACAAAACAGACAAGGCTAGGGAGGACAATTGGGGATGGAGAGTGGGGTCGAAACTAATACCAATATACAAGAAAAATCAAGAGAGGAGGACGTATCGTGTGAGGCAGCAAACCACTCAAGTTGAATTGCATACAACAACGAAGAAAAAGATAAAACGTGAAAATAGAAAAAAAGACAGAATAACTTCATAAGTGGATACAAAAGACTGATACTATATCAATCAAATAATCCAAAGCTCAATCAGGATCGTGGGGAGGGAAGGGGAAGTGCGTTTTATGATACAACTCCAGATACGCATGTAATCCGGCGTTTTTTGAGGCAAGACTAATCAAAAAAAAAAGTAACATTTTGTCCGCACATTGATTAACTCGGGTGCGGTACGGGGACGGTGGGTGTGGAGTAACAAATCAAGCAAGGGGAAAGGGGGGGAGAAGCTCATGATAGAAGAAGCAAGCAATGAAGGAAAAAGGCGAGGTATCCAGTGTCGATGTATCGCAGACAAGCAGGGTGGAGGGGTTACTAGCGAACCAAAGGAAGGGGGGGATACACAAAAACCAACTGTACCGCCGAACCAAGCAACGGGGAAGAAGACCATTCGGATTCTTGAAGGGCGGGGGTACGACCATTGATGGAAGCCAAGAACTTGCAATTAACGAACGCAAGCGCGAAACCACGGCAACGAAGGCGAGCAACAACGACAGCGACGACAATGACAACTTCGGACAACCCAATGCTTCGGCGCGAGAACGACGAGGGGGGATAAACGATTGAACAAAAAAAACACAAACACATCCCTCATGACAAGACAAACAGACGGCCAAATTACAACCTCAACACATCCAGATCCCAACCCAACCCACACCAAACTCCTTCCTTCTTTCCTTCCTTTTTTAATTCGGCAGCCTACTGTATACATATCCCAGATACGAATCTCAGGGACACGCAAAGACGAAGCGAGGGAGGGAAAAACATGTTCAACGTCAATTGGACATACGTCAACCGGTCAATTAACACGCTGCCGAGGGTTGCGGGAGGAACGATTCAGGATCCGAGGAAAGGGGGGGAAGGGGGGGGAGTGGACATTTTTGGGACAAGGCGGCCGGTGTCTGGGAAGTCGGCGAGTTTGAAAACGTAACCGAACGCATATCTGATCAGGGGTCCCCATTGCAACTTGCGTGTTTCGTCTGTATCGATGTGCCGTGTTGAGAGGGCCGGGAAGTTGGGGAACCGGAGGCGATACGATAGCGTCGGGGGTAGGGGTCCGAAAATGGATGAACGTCGGCCGAATGAACAAAACAAAAAAAGATGTGTATGGATTGCATGCAAAAAGAGTTTGTCCCGTCCCTGAAATCAGGAGAGCACCATCACCATATTCAAAATCGTTCAAGCGCCAAAATCAACACCCCGCCGAAGAGATCCAAACCCGTCGCGGACCTCCGTTTTCCGTCCGAACTTTAAAAAAATTCGAACGCAGAAAAAATGAAATGAAAGGGACCGATAATCAAAACAACAGCGCATGAAACGCAAGAATAAAAAAAGCTTCACAAGCCGACCCCCAAGACCCGAAAAGCGCCTCATGTTTCCATTGCCACCATACCCACGTTCATATTCATGATACCCTCCCCAATATTCCCATTCAATCCTCTGCGTCCACCAACGACATCCCGCGTTCTTCCTCTCTCCTCGTGCAATCCCAGACCACCAGCACCCCCACCCAATCCATTCAAATCACCCTCAGCACTTGCACCGCTAGCAGCAGGGCTCAAACTTCCCTCAGAATCAGCATGCTCATGTCCCTGAGTTCCATCCATTATTTCATCTTCCTCTTCATTCGTCGGAGGCAAAGTAATCCCGAAGCCGGTAGGTCCGTGTCCGTGCCCATGTCCGTGCCCATGGGCTAGAGATGCCTCGGAAGCGAGGACCATATCATGAGCGTCTCCAGGAATGGTATCACCATTCATAGCACCGGTAGATGCTTCCGGAGAAGCTGAAGCGCCACCATCTGAGTTGTGGTGCGACGGTGGGTTGCCGGAACGGTATGCCTGGAGTTCTTGTTCGAGTTCACGATTCCGTGAGCCTTGGGCTGTGACGAGTTGTTGGAGATATCTGTAATTTTATTTGTGAGTAAGCGCCGAAAATGGAAAGGAGATGAAGATAACGCACCGAATATATTCGACGCTCTTTCGGAGGATCATGCCTTTGTTGGCTTTTACGACGCTTCCTTCTGCGGTAGCTGATGGCGTGGATCCATCCTCTTCCTTCTTCAGGCCCGGAACAACATCTACAGGCGAAACCGGGGACAGTAGCTGATCATCGAGGCTAGGGGTAGTATGCGCATTACCTGTAATAATTCAATTAAACCAAAAAAAAATAAAACAAGACGGATATTACTCACTAACGTCAAGCATACACTCTGGAATGAGCGTCGCAAGTTCACTGATCTTCTCATTAATATTATCTCTGCGTCTCCTCTCCACGGCGTTATGAGATTCTCTCCTCCTGCGGCGTTTCTCATTTGCGAGAGCTGCCTGCTTCTCGGCGGCGGTCTGTGCCTGGGCAACGACGCCGACCCCCTGGCCGCCCTGGGGCGTGCCGACGACGGCATGGGAGTGAGGTGGAGACATGCCTAATCTGAGGCCATTGATGCCATTTACGATCGTGCCGTTGGAGCCGATGCTGGAAGATAAGCTGAGATGGCCATGCGGTGGGTCCTTTGGTACGCTCCCAGCACCACCGAGCGGGATGCCGTGGCCATGGGAGAGCGAATGCGATAAGGGAGGAAGATGCATATCAGTGGGTGAGTTGAGTGAAAACGGCGTGTATCCCTGATGCGAGTGTGAATGGGAATGAGAGTGCTGGTGCAGAGGATGCGCATGCGAGTGCAGCGAGTCTGGAGTTGGCAGCGAGAAATCCGACGCAGATGAATGAGAATTCATGAACCAGCCCTGGCTGCCATTGAGAGGGCTGCTCACTGCACCCCCGGGGATGGCACCGCCGAGGCTGGCTGCCATGCGGTGGTGCGTGTGTGTACCCGGGATGACAATCGCCTGCGGCCGTGCCCCGTGCGGGGGAGGCGAAGTGCTGCTGACGCTGTTGTTTCTGCGTGTCCGCGTGGTCCGTGCAGGCCCCGGACCTCCGCTCACTCCCCCGCTCGACGGCGGCCGAGACCGAGACCGGGATCGGCTTGTCGCGTGGTGGGGATGGTGGATCGGCGACGGTGTGTGGCGTGTAAAGTGGTTGGAGGGGAAGCTGGAGGGCGGATGGCTCTGCTGGGGCTGGGGCGGGTCTGGATGAGGCTCATAGCGCATCGACGAGTTGAGCGCTGGCAGCGTCGAGTTGAAACCGGGCGGCGGGTCATGCGGGAACGCAGATGCCGTGGACGATGCCGAGGACGCAAGAGGGGGCTGGTTCTGGCCTTGCTGTTGATGTGCCGGGGTCGGCGCAGAGATGTCAAAGATGTTGTGTGGACGATGGTACGAGTCGTCGTAGGCTGTAGCGGCGGCCTGGCGGGATCCGGGGTGCTGGGAAGCTGATCCGGGCCTGTCGATGAACAGCTCGTCACCAAAGTCAAGGGCAGCGGTGGCAGAGTCGGCAGCAGGGAACTTGCGGAAGGGGTCGGCGATGTAAGAGTGGTGGTTCATGCCGACGGCAAAGAGGTCGTGCTGGGTCTGCGGAGGCGGGGATGTGGAGTCTGGGCCGGGCGACGGCAGCTGGAAGCCCTTCTGTCTCACTTGGGGCTCGTATTGCGACGGCGAGAAGAAGGACATTGCACTCTCTGCACGACCCACCACTTCCCTCCTCTCATATCCCCCCCTCTACTCAAACTGTCCCACGCACCCCCTATATCGCAATTCCTGGGGTCCCGTCACCAGAGATCCAATCGGATCTACAACAACATCACCAAATAGCCTTCTATCTCCGCATCTCTCCTTACCCCGCATTCCCCAGCCCCCTTTCACATGCGTACACCTCCCACACAGGCTGCACGCTCTTCTCATTTCTCCACTGCCATCCTCTCTCTCACTGCGCTGCCTCACAAATACATCCCCCAGTACATACCTGATTCGCTAGATACCCATCTCTGTATTCATTACATAACTCATTCCGGTCCAAATACCATTAGGGACAGCCGGCTCCGGATATCATCCCATCCCTGAATTACTCCCTCGCCCAGACCAACTCAAGGGAATTTTTTTCTCCTCCCCCCTCCAACTCCAATACACGCCGGTAAATCACATCTTCCCAAAGGAGCCAATAATATCCCATCTCATCTCCATTTGTCCTTCCCCGCATAAGCATAACGACCTCTATCTCTCTCCTCGTTTCCATCGCCACACACTATGCGCCATCCAGCTTGTCTCGTCTAGGAAACATCATAGGGTAATCACGGCACCAACCCACCAAGGGCTAATACAAAAAAAAAAAATCCACGCCAACAACCAAAGGCGGGGAAGCCCTTCAATGCCGATAGGACAGCCCTATAGCGTAATACTGTCGTCGTGATAAGATTTCCAAATTACATTTCCGTTCGCCCAAATGCCCAACTGCCCCAGTCCAGAATCAAATAACCCTACCATACTAATTTACCGAGAGTTCCCATAAAGGCGAAATCCTCTGCAAATTCTCGCATCCATATTCAATTGAAGTATTGTTCTCAAGAACGCCAACAGCAACGCAACTCCCCGCATCGCTAAACCTGAGTTTGAATGGGACCTGTCGCATTTATTAATTCTTCTATTCGGTCATTACCGTACAACTGATAAGAAAGTTAATCGCAAGGGCGCTGCAAGCCTTGCGAACATTATCCCAAAATCGCCTCACTCAGTGGCGTCACCGCCATGGCACTTGTATATCCCAGTGAATAGCAGGCACACTCTGTAAGCATGTACCCAGTCATAAGTATATTAAAAAAATGCCGTACGGTCAGCCGCGATCGCCGACAGGACGCCAAGAAGTGCAATATGCACCATGCAGTCAAAACCCGGAAGAACGCAAAGCCGAAGTCATCAACCATGCTTGCAAGTATTCATTCAAAGAACTTCTTCTCTCTTAAGCACCCATTGAGTCTTAGATTGACTCTTGTATCCTGTAATCTGGCTCTGATTTGTATTCAAATTAGCGACCGCACAATCCACAAGTTACCTAGAACATTGAATAACAGACGTCTGGTCGACTAGATCGAACCAAAATAACTCTTTTACTGTATTCACGAGTCACCTCTCCGTATTCCGCAGAATACGGACTCTCCCACTGCTCGGTCTAACAAACCATTCTACCTCACCGCCGCTGTCTGGCACCCACCCCGTGCAATTGATCATTCCCCCCAAAGCCGTTCTCCCAACAAATCATCAACATGCGCCACGAAACTAAAACTCCTCAATAAATTTTTAAGAAACTAGAACATCAGGACTATCGGACTTGCATCGTGGATCTTTACACGACCACCAACCAACTCACCATCACCACACCACTTCCAGACGTGCTACTGTATATACATACATACCCTGCCATCACTATATTTGCTCCACCAGGCAAGCCGCAAACCCAGGGAAGGGTCCTGATAGAATGGAATTCAAAGGCTAGTAGCCCCGATCGCCCATGGGTTACGTCGAACGTACAGCAGCCGCGGCACCGTTACCGCACCGTATGTATGTGTTACCGTGTGGCGTACCAAGTTCAAGGGTCCTGCGGTGTTTCAACGCTATTACATTTCCGTCGTCGTCATGATTTCTTTTTTGAATCGTTATGATATGTGCTTCCCTGACATAGAT